ATTTAAGGAACTAACGAAGACGTCTAACCGCCAAATGAGTTATATTTCAATGTAATGGCTGTAAAAAATTGACGAAAGTCGAATGTCGCTCCATTCAAAACACTGTCTACCGGAACCTCGTCAACGAGGGCACTATGATCATTTCATTTGCTGATATGGATTGCTTGCTGCTTGTACTATAAATGAGACCAATGCCGTGTTAGATGGTACAGAACATAGAAAACATAACGATGAAGTCTTATATTTCGAGTATTCTTTTGTCGACGGAAAAAATTCATCGTCTTCTTCAATGAAGTAAGCATAGAAACGACAATATTTAATAAGAAAAAACACATACAAACTATTTTTTTTTTGAGACAGGGTGCCCGAACAGAATCGAGTAGATTCCTTGGTAGCCTATCCTATCTGGCTTCTTTTATAGCTGAACGATTATCTAACCCACGTAGGGCTAGACGCTTCCTGTGAGGACTATGTCAAAGCTCCACTAATATAAGACTCAACAATGGCTCACTTTGTTCTATCTGTTATAACTGGGGAAGATGAAAGATCAAAAAGTAGTAATATTCAATTTATAGCAAACGTTTAAGATGCACTGGAACAGAAAAAAACAAGAACGTTGGAAATGTTATTACATGGCTAAAGACGTTCAACTTGCCTCACTGTATCCGTTTTCTTCAGTTGTACTGTCAGGAGTTCAGAGGCACTTGGTCGAAGAGGAAGGGTTCCATGCTCCACGTTGGTTGACTTGTTCAGCATTTGCAACACAGTACGCTGAAATAGATGCACATCAGAATTCAATGGTTTCCACCAACGTCCGGTCTTCCAAAGTTCATGAAGCCCCTTCAGAAACCGGTTCACAAAAAACTCTGCCTTTTCTCGCTATCATCCGTAACAAAATGCAGAGGACATTCCTCTCGAGTTCTGTTATAGTAATTAGACGTGAACTACCATGGAAAGCGAGTAAGATCTGAGTGAGCAATGAAAATTGCTTGAATTTGTTCGGAGAGATATGACAGAAAAGCCCCCAAATTTCCTCACTTTGGATGAAGGTGTTCCCGCTCCAGTAACAGAAGTCGTGTGAGCTGAAAGCAAAGACGGAGGAGGTGGAGGTGGTGGCGGTGGAATGGCTGCCGAGGGTGGAGCCGTACTGCTCCGATTTGCTCCTGGTAAGTTTATCTGAAAGAAAAAAGTGAGCAACCTTACCATAATTGAGAATCTCAGCAAAGTAAAACACTCACAGTGTCAGACGGACTACACAACGATGTTCCTTTGCCTTCGTCGTCCGAAAGAAGTGGTGAAGAATCGTATGACCGCTCAGCCTTCAAGATTGGAAATTGAGTTGATACCTCCAGGTATGTATCAAATGAAATATGAATAAGATTACGAACCGGAACAGGTGGTGGTATTTTTCCAGCCAACAGTGTTTGCATTTGTTTCGACAGTAAAGCAAGCTGGGCTTCCAAGGACTGTATCTTAAATGGCAAAAATTGCGATCAAAAAATTCGAAGTAATAAGCTTGCCGATGAGAGAAAAAGTGGAACGCTCAACAAAACTCGTTCATCGTTCTGACACACCTTCAATTCTTGATCGGTCGCCATGGTACTGGGCAGGGAGAACCGCTCATCTTCGTCTTCCGTGGGAATTGCCATTTTCATCGGGCAGTTAAACAACTATTAAGAAAATGTAAACAAGAGTATTCAGGAATTAACAAACCTTCACAACTGAATGCGTTAATATAAGCAACCAATAATTACATGACAAAAAAATATATACCCACCTGGAAATCTTTTAAGTTCGACTCAGAGTCGTGTTGCGGTGGTACCGGTGAAGGTAGTCGATCCCATGCCGGGAACCGAACTGAGTAGCCATGAACTACACCTGCACCAAGAAGAATATTATCTAAAGGGCAACAGACAGTGGAGAGAAAGCGAAACACTTCGGGAACTGGAATAAGATCGCCGTGTTTCAAGGTTCTGCCACAGTCTTCGTGAGAGAGGAGAAAGAGTTGTTTGGTTTCGAGCAAGATATTATGGAGAGAAGCTTACCATCTTCAACTTCTTCATCAGAGGTGAGGACAATTGCAATATCATTAAAAGTGTACTTTGGTGGCTTCCAACGAGATCGAAGTGGGATCTGAGCGAAGTTTTTTTACAACAACAATCCAATATCTTCGAAAGGCTATCCAGTGACAAGAAACAACAAAGTTACTTCATTTAAGATCATGGCCTCATCACTCTTCAGATCCGAAGCACTCATCGAAACATGTTCGACTCTCCTATAAACATAAAACAACTAATTACTAAGCGTTAACAAAGGCAGGATTATGATACCCTGATAACGTCGCAAATAGTTGGGACATTCTTCGAAAATCTATATGCATTGACTCGACACAGAAACGTCGAATCCGATAACCATAGTCACGGAGTAGCATTCGCTAAAGAACAACTTAGAGGAAAACAGTCCAAGGGACTCCGCAAAGAGAGAAGACTCACTATTCGACGTATTTCTGCTTCTATATATATCATTAACAATTCAATACCACTTGCCGTTGTTCGTGCCACGGATTCATTTACATGGATCCCAAAGTCAACCTCATTGTCGTCACCCAAATACTGTAAAAAGTTCTCGCAAGTTGGGTATAATGTAACACGAACATGACGATGACCATAAATACAATGATAATGATAATAGGTACAGAAGGTTTTTACGAAAATTTTGATCCACAAATGTTTCTCAAATTCTTACCAATCTATGCCCAGCTATCGGGAAAGATTAGAAATTCTCAAGTTGAAGAGCCTACTTTATCGACGAGTGTTTTCTGATCTGATTTTCTGTTTCAAAATACTCAGAAATGAAACCAAGTTGAGAGCTAGTAAATATTGGATATTTATGCCATGTCGAGGTCGTAGCAGCACTCTTAGCTTGCGCTGTGTACATGTCAATAGAAGACGGCAGCTACTGGTCACTAACTCACTGTTTTTCCGCGGTGCTAAGTGGCTGCAGATGCTACCAGCTAGTATCCTTGAGTCTCAGAGTGTATCCATATTTCGTGAAAGATTGAAAAAGATCGACCTTCTTAATATTTTGAATATTCCAGATTTCTAGTTCGTTCTGGTGATTCTAGTTTGAGGCCCGTCGATTGTGCCAATAACTTTGTCTATGTCAATGCGTCAATGGTCTGAGCAACGCTCGTGGACTTTCCGCCTCCTTTATCAACAATTTCTGTCTAGCCTCGTTAATGGATGAACCTACTGAGAATGTTTTGACTGCCTCATCGTATTTGGTAACTATATCGACTGGATTGACCTTATCAGTTCCCGAGTAAGAGCTGTCTCCTTCATGAAATTGGACTTCTTACGTATGAATGCTGATATGTTGTATTGTTCAGAATATCCTTGTATAGCACTACATCTCCTCCTGCTGTTCTAGGCCTAGCGGACAAGTGGTTCATGTTGTTTTGCGATTAGTTTTGTCATGTATTATCCTCTTAGGTGTTTGGGGCGATGATCATCACACTCTTCCCTCATTGGCCCACCATTGATCTTATCTATCATGACATGAATTCACACGGATCCCCTACTTGTGGTTGCTCAGCACATTTATTCGGTGGCCTACCCGTCGCACTCTCCTAGCTCACCGATTCCACATGGGATGTCGGTATACCTTTGTTTCGGAGTTTCGGTGAGCCCCTATGACCCCGTGGTGTGGCGAGTGGGCACCATAGCCGACTGGTGCGGGTCTGTGCTGCGTTCGGACTCCG